GTCGGCTCAGCTATACTATCAACTATCACTGGCAAGCACACTAGCCTGTGTCCCGCCCACTGATATTGAACACCACCGGTAGTTCCTACAGGAAGCAATGTTAACTTCAGGTCAATCGGTCTGTGGGTTATCACATCACCCCTTGAAGGGTTGGATATCGGCGTGCTCCCTGGCACTGTTCGACTCCCGCCGAACTTTCTCAGTAAACCCAGACCAGAATGAAGTTCGCCGTATTATTAGCAGACAACTCAAACGAAGCCTTCGCAGCGATCGGGAATTTTGGTGGTCCCAACGCGCCTTGGAGATGGAGGCCGCCGCCCTCACTGGAAACACTCGTAAGCTGTTTCAGCTCATTCGGACCACTGGACACAGGAGGTCTGGTATCAGCGAGGTCATCTGTGAGGCGGACGGGTCACAAATCACTAATTTGCAGAGACGCATGGACAGATGGGCTGAGCACTTCCAGTCTCAGTTCAGTTGTTCCTCGCCATCCACCTTTACACTCAGTACACCCAGTCGCATGCCATGGTCAGTGCCACTCGAACCACCAACCGAAGCGGTTTGTCTTGAGATTCGTCACTTGAAGCGCTTCAAGGTGGCCGGCTCAGATGAACTTCCCCCAGAGTTGTTCAAATACGGCGGTACAGCAGTCGTCAAGCAGCTAACGTCCCTGTTTCTGAAGATCTGGCAGGAAGAAAGGGTCCCTCTTCCAGGGGGGAGTCAATCATTGTTCCAATCTTCAAGAACGGTTCGCATACTTCGTGTACCAATTAAAAGGGCATTAGTCTGATATCTGTTGCCTCCAAGCTACTAGTATCCATAATGCTCCTCAGGTTATCCCCCAGTCATGAGTCACACTACCGGGACGAGCAGGCTGGTTTTCGACCCGATCGAGGATGTGTGGATCAAATTCTCACTCTTCGCCAAATCCTGGAGGATCGTCACCTCTACCGCAGACCCACCAATGCCACGCTCCTGGATATTCGGGCTGCGTTCGATCTGCTTTATGGAACTGCCTGTTGAAGAATGGAATGCCAGAAAAGTACGTCGCCATACTTCGCGCGCTATACTTCCACACTTCAGGCCGAGTGAGAGCGTTTGGCACGCTTCCTCCATTCTTCCCTGTCTCCGGTGGCATGCGACAAGGATGCCCAATGTCACTGTTTCTATCCAACTTTGCGATCGACGATGTCCTTTTGGGAGCAGAACTTAGGCATTTTCCAGATAATCGCGCGACCGACTTAGACTACGCTGATGAAATCGCCTTGCTCGGTGACGATCCCCATGGGATGCAACTGTTCACTGATCGATTGGTGATTGAAACGTCTAAGTTTGATTTGTGCTTTATCCTCTGCAAGTGCAAAGCTCTTCTACAGGACTGGCAGGCACCCCATCCCCAAGTCACCATCGAAGGCACACAGCTCGAACATGTAGATAGTCTTAGCTACCTAAGGAACTACGTCTCTGTCGACGGCACTATTGAAGCAGAGGTATCCATTCGAATCGCTAAAGCGCGATCAGCGTTTGCCAACTTAAGACATTTGTGGCGCCGTCGCGATATTTCACTCTCGCTAAAAGGCAGGGTTTACAAAGCCTCTGTACGTGCGACATTGCTGTACGGATGCGAATCCTGACAGAACCGTGTGGAAGACATGCGTCGTCTTTCGGCCTTCGACAGTAGCCGTTTGCGGAGGATTGCCCGCGTGCGTTGGCATACCGAGTGTGTAATGATGACGTTAGACAGTGTCTTGGGCAAGGCGGAAGCTCGGTTTTGTGATGTCGTCCGGCTGCGTCAATTGTGATGGTTTGGTCAGGTCCTGCGCATGCCTAACAAACACACTGCGCCCTGTTTGCGCACGCAGGGTAACTTTGGAAAAGGCCGCGTTGAGGTCAACCGTGCAACTGGCGACAATGTGTGAAATGGATGACATCTTGCGTGGCCATTGCTGGTCAAGTCCGAGTTCCGCCTGGGGACACACAGATAAATCATGCCAATGGCTCACAACGCTGGAAGCAATAGCGCAAAACCGGTGGCAGTGGAAGCAAAGCGCGCAAGTGCGCCTGATTTTCCTTCAAAAACAAGCTCTTACAAACCGTAATAAATTACAACATGGTGTGTGTAAAACCACAGAAATTGTTGTTCCGTTTTTTTCATCCAATATCGAATTCTTTTATATGTTTTGTACGTTTTATTACTCCCTATTCCAAATTCCATGGTTCCGATTAGCTCGATGTCTATTTTAGAATTTTGACAATATATATATATATATACATATATGGGCGGTGCGAACAGTCGGCGGCGATACAAAGACATCGAATTAGAAAATGCACCCAGCGGTTAGGAAATGGAACCAAATTATGTATACCTACATGAACAGAAGAATTCCATGAGACAAGTAACTCCAACGGCCACCAAGTGCAACAAATGTGCAGGGCGTAAAAACGTTTCCCACAAATAATTAAACGTGGAACATCTAACAATCGAGCGTATCTCGGCTCAGTGATGCGACCATTGCGCACTATACCATTTCACACGCATGTTATTGTATTGTATCAAGCTTTTAACGTGGCACATTTTCGAAATCGCGTGCAGTACTTTCAAGTTAGCGAGGCTAAGAACGCTGTTTTGGCGTCTTTGACACTCTCATTGGTCACGGGACATCAGCCAATGGGACACCGGTTAGAAGTGCACAGCATAAGCGACAGACAGTCCAATGAAAGTGGTTCAGCACCACTCTCTGTTCTATTTTGATGCCTATCTGAAGGAAATCTCGATGATTAGTCTCCAAACTGAACCCGTCCAATGCGCAACTTGTGATGCCTGTCTAAGGAGGAGATCCTAGCTACCACATGATCCGAAGCTCAAGACGTAACCAGTGCGGACAGACATACTAACCAGCACATGAAGCGGTCTATACTTAGGGATCGCTAGCGGCTAACTGGTGGTGGCTTATTAAGCGGCCTAACCATGGTGGCGTAACAGGTAATATTCTAACTGGTATTCCACAGTTCAGCAATGGCTGCTAGGCAGTTAGACAATTGTGTGCGATTGTCATTGCAACGATCATGGGGGACATTGTTCCCACTGAAGTTGGTAGACCAACCTGAAGCTGAACAACGAAAATGCTAAGTTTGCTTACTTCGATCACAGTTGATGACTCAACAAAAAATGAGAGGATTCCAAGTGTGACGTTGACACGATGTTAGTGAGTGTTCGGTTGTCTCCACACCCATGGGCGACTTTGTTAGTCAGTTATCGCTTCAGTGTCACCATGTATCACGTTAGGTAAAGGTCAGAGGAACCTATGTATTCATAGGATAATTAGGCTTCACTTCCATAAGCTCGCCCATTGGTGTTGAGACGCTTTGACAAGTGGCTCTCCAAATGGAACCATTAAAAGCACAGTCAATGCAGATGGGACCTCCCTATTTCGTCCATGGACTGGAATGCTATCCTCATGAAATCGGCATTACTCAACAAAGAAACACTTAAAGGGGCTACAGTGACTACGGTGCCACATCGTCCTGCTAGAAAAAACCGAAGGCTGAAAATTAATGGCGACGCAGGCATTTTACTCTGGTAATTCAGGTGAGTACTCGGAACAGTCACACTGTTGTCTCACCCACAGGCGTTCCTACGATGTGTTTGCAACCATTTACAAAGGCAACCGCGCCCACTAATCCTTCTATGGACCACTGTTTCAACTAGTGTTCGAAGCAGTCTTGTGCGTACGCCGTGACAGGTTGCTATCGACTTGGCAGCTACTCGGAAACATTTTGTCATTGGAAAGTAGGTAATTCCGGAGGAATTGTTGAAGGAGGAAAATTTCTCCAAACTCTATGCTTACTATGTGTATGCAATGCTCGTTGGCTGATCATATCAGAGCCGTAGGGTCACTTGATATTTCAAGCTTATCAATCACTTGGAAGTGAAGTGTAACTATCATGTTGAAACGCAGGATTGACATGCATCTTACGATCTTAACGTAACGGCAGGTCCATGGGTCCTGTGGCGGTAACTGATTACCGAAGTGGCCCGCAGGTGTGGAGACGAACGAACCCTCACTAATGTCGTGTCACTGCCACATTAAGAACCCTCCTCTTTGGAACAATGGCTACTGATCCAATGATAGTCTTACCTACACAGCGAACTTGACCTTAGTATACAATGCGCCGACTACATCAGCATTTGTAAATCGGTAAAATTTCGATAGATTTCACTGCACCTTCTCTCGTTTTGCGGTAAAAAAAGGAACAAACTAGTATTTTATAAACAAGTCGTTGGCTTTTTCTTCTGCGTCTCTAGTGCGCTTACGCAAATAATTTTTGGCTGCAATGTTCTGCCACACGGAACCATGTATTCGGAAACCTCACGCAGACGCAGAAGATTTTGACAAACCCCCACTCACGGAGTGCCATTTTCACTACGGCATGTTTCAAGTTAATGGCAACATCGAGGTTCCATTAGCTGTTGCACCGTAAGAAGAATATCAGCCACATTACTCTCCGAACACCTCGGAGATTTCGCCCGACCATACACATGCCGAAGTCGCCTATCGTTTCCAATCATCGCAGGTGCATCAACGTACCCTAAAAGACTGACTACCGTGCAAAGATACGGCGGAATCGACTAGACAACTTTCAGGCGGCTTTTAATGATACGAGTCATAAGCAAACTCATCCCACAGACAACTCAGCAACAGACACACTTCAAACCGGTATCCCGATTTGGAGATGACTGCACATCATCCAATGGTGCCGGTCGCAAGGCATGTTCTGTAAAGTCTTGAGCTTGACCAACAGCGTCAAATCTGGTTTTCCGTAACTTTACATTCGACCATCAAGTCAACTTTTGTCTCCATCAAACCGTCACCTTACTTGCAAAAACAAGATCTCTAAAGGTAGCAGCCCCAAACGTTCGCATGCAAACAGACTATTCAGGAAAGTGAGGACGATCGATGAGAATCGCATAGCCCGATATCCGAAGACAGAAAACTATGGCAGGAGCATTGGTTTAGAGTATGGAGAAAAGACATGTACAGTGTGCACAGTGTCATCATTGGCGCTGATTTAACCACAGTGCGGAGAATACAGGAGAAAGGCGAAGTCCGCAAAGGCATTGAGGTTGTTATACAAAAAGCAACTTGTGGCAACTGAGTATCAAGTAATACAAAGAAATATAAAAATGTAACAAAACCGGAAAAGATTAGTGTACACTGTCCATAAGAGATGCAGGCAGCAATGAAAGGAAGTATAATGGAGAAACATAGAGAGGAACAATTACAGCACACCTGAGCTGAAACTGCCTGAAAGAGTTGTGCGTGTATGGCGGGAAATAAAAAAGGAATTCACAATGAATAAACATAGGTGAAAAAATCAGCTGTTTAAATATCGAAAACAGAGAGGAGAATAAATGTCTCAGAAAAAATGCATAATTCGAAAATGATATACAGTGAGTAAGGAGAGCACGTAGTGGCACACACGTGCGGTGCGAGCGGTGTGGACGTGGATTCCTAGGGACAGCAGAGTGGGCGCGCACACACATATGTGCTCAGCTGACTAGACAAGTAGGCTATCATGTGAGCCGGAGGTGAGACAAGATGTTGGTTTGACTGGATACGATGGGCTTCGATGCAGTTTCGGTAACCGATCGAGCAATTTCACGAGCGTCGTGAATTCTGGGCGCCGGGAAGGACAATAGGCCCAGCATTGGACCAAAATCTCCTTAAAAAGGAAAAAGATATGAGGGACGGAGCAAAGACCGGGTCAGCAAGTGTTGCGAAGCGGTAAGATTGAACGAATTACTGTATATAAAGGAAAAAAGTATTATTGAGCACAGCCTGTGATGAGACAACGAATGAATAACCGCAAGCGTAAAATAAAAAGTAACAAATTTTTACAGAGCTGAGGTCTCGTCTGTAGATAAGCAGCTCCTAAATGTTAGGTGTAGCTGGTTTATACCGGTGGACCTCTGGTTTAGATAACGGTACACTCAAACCTGTTTAAGGCGATCACTCAAGGGACCGACAACAAGTGATCCACTTGGACAGGTGGTCCCCATAGCAGGCTGAATTGTAGAAATTACTAAGCTTCGTGATCTGAGCACGTACTGGGGTATGGGCGTGACTGTTCACATGGCACAAAGTAGTAGGAATGACAGGAGCGTTCGAATAGCAGCACATACGGGGGAAGTCATGCGAAAATTCCACTTTCATCCTTACTGATGCCGTTTTCGGGACAGAAGCGTTTACTCCGGGGGATCACTAGCTTTACGTGTAAAAACGCCATTCATACCGTTGATCCTCGTAGTTGGAACGAGAGAGCCAGGTGTAATTCAGAGATGATGTTTTTCGTCTGGCTTGGAATGCATCACAGAAATTGCAGCATCATCTAACCCAATGTGTAGGGAGAGTGATACAGATCGAAGCACGAAGCAATGTATTTTCGATCGTCAGTCGTAGCGATTGGTGGGTAACAGGACTAGAGCACCTGAGGTGTGGGGGTTCGGGAGTGCACTGGAAAATGCCGTGGGATACACTGATAATTGATGCTCACCTTCACATCACTTAGGTTTCCCAAGTTCGCCAAATATGATGAGCGCAGTGATTACGCCTATTTCGAATAGTGCATGAAGCGGAGTAACTCGTGTGATTGGTTGACAGAATCCTGGTATGATCCAGGGATCGGATATCGTTCAACCGCTTGGATACGGTCGCAAAGATCATAATTACTTGTATCTGAAGGGCAAGATTTCGAAATCAGCAATATCCTGTGGCGAACGCCACCTCCGTTGACTAGCCACCCTAAAAAAAGTGAGGATTCTGATAATGGATGTACAAAGAGAAGCAATGGAGGGCCCAGTACCCAGGCTTGTACCTTGGAAAGAACCACTCGCTTCAGTACGGAATGCCATCCTGCAGAGCACACGTGACCATCGACTGAACAGTAGACTATCGAATGTAATAGCCAAAGCTTAGCCTGCAGCTTACCCGCATGTTGTGAAATAGACTACACAGCCCATTACACAACGCCTTAAAGAGAGACTTTCGGTCCACTCCAAATCGTACATTATATATCAGTTTTGTTGCAACCCGGTACTAATAGAAGGGGTAAATTTCGAGAATCCATGTAGTTGGCCAAGTTGGGATACAGGCCTGAAGCTGGACAACTGTAATGCCTCAGCCTATGATGCCGAATGCGAACGCTGCTCTGGCTATGACGCAGTGTTCAATACAGTTGACCGATGATCATGGTGGTTGGGTGGATTGGTCGAACCCTAACACCTTCCCCGCAAAAATAAGTTGTAATAACATGACCTTCTTGAGGGTCTTCTGACACTTGGACTGTTGCAGCTGCAAGGGAAGTGAGACTCGCTGTCCCATAGCTGGAGCCCGGAACATTTGCTGCAAGCCATTGCTGGTTGCTGCGTCAACTGAAGGCTCTTCGATATCCTGGCACTTGTCGACTGGAGAGGCAAATGTCGAGTGACTGTCCCGATCATTCGTAATTGCCTGAGGACCGCCGGCGAAAATACAACTGTCGAGTGACGGTCTCGATCATGATTAGGTATCGAATCACTTGGCTGAAAAAATAGGTGTCCAGTGAAATCCAGACCACGTGTAACCGAGTGGCTCCAAATTGCTCACGTGTTTGTGAAAAAAAGCATTCCAAGTGACCGTAGAAACTCTTGGTCCATCCCATCCGCGTCGAAAAACTTTTGCAATCCGGCACTAATAGAATGGGCACATTTCGAGTTGGGCTACAGGCCTGAAGTTTTAAAACCCTACTGCGTCAACCCATGATGCCGAATGCAAACGCTGCTCTGGCTATGACGGAGTATTCAATACAGTGATCGATAGCGGTTGAGCGATGATCATTGTGGTTAGGATTGGTCTAACCCTAACAAGTTAACTTGCACATGTGGTGCAAGGTACATTGGACATAAGACCAGTAGTCTATCAAAGCAGATCGCTGAGCACTGCCCTGGGTAACTAAGAAGGGGCGTTGTCGAAGGATTTAATAGTGCCATCATTGAGCACCTGTTCCAAAGGGGACACGAAATCGGACCAGCCGACTCATTCATTTAGATGTGCAGAACTGTGTAAATTTTAGGTCATTGCAACTGATGCTGTGATCACAAAAGCATTAAATGAACATGCAGTAGTCATGACTTGATGGTGTCGGGTGCGTTCCAGGGTGTACTAAGGACAAGTGGCTTGGTTTGGTTCTTACAGCAGTAGGTTACTGACCCCAGTTTGACGGAAGAATCAGTTGAGCAATGTATAGTTCGTCGTTGCGTCATTAAGTACCTGCCGTTTGTCTGGATTGTGAGACGTAATCTAGGTTAAAGCTACGGTTTGCTTTGAAGGAAACCTCAGTCATTTCGATCACTGGGACAGCATCCGAAATGGAGAGTTTCGGAGCCGCTCTCTTTCGACAGTGTACTTCACGACCGACCGGTTTAGTCCGGATTTTGACTCGTCAGATAGAAATAGCCTGAGTATAGAGTGGAACCAGACATATAGTGACTGATAACTTACGTCTTGGACACAGCCAGATTGCGAGCAGCGCTTGATACAGTGATTAGAAGTTTATTGTCGAATGTCGGCATACCCACTATGCAAACCGTGGCCTCAACCGAGATTACGTGTCGCAATCCAGACACATGGAGGACAATCCAAGACCCAACCATGAATTTGTGACCGCTATGTCAAGCGCTGTTCGCGGAGATCTAGCTAACTGACCAATGCGTAAACCGTCAAGCACTGTGTTTGGCTCCACTCTCAACCCAGGATGCCCCTATTTGATGAGTCCAAATCCGGACGGAAGCGGCCAGTCGTGGAATACAGTGTTTGTAGGGAGCGGATCTGAAACACTCCAGTTGAATAGTGATTTGTTAAATTCCAGTTGTGTTCAGTACCCTACGGGGTGGCACACATTTCTAACTCGTTCACTCGGATGAGCTGAAAACAAATCTGCAGTAAATTAATCAGAAGAGGTACCTAAGTCTCAAGAGTGACAAGTCCACTTAAGCCGTCCGAGAGTTGACCGACATGTAAGTGCGCATATTTGTTAAACCAGTTACAAGGGCCCCGTTTTTTAATACTAGGTAACCTTTTTGAGACAACAATGACCAAATCTTCACTTGACATCAACCTTTGGAACAATGCCATATTTATTGGCGGCTCATACTAGTTATTTTCCTCAGTATCAGTAATGCCTTCGATCCGGTGGATCGATGTTGGGCTATTTGATCGGGAGAGGTTTGCCCGATAAATCCGTAAATATTGGGAAAGCGCTTTACGCACATGGTTTGGACAGAGTGGGTTTATGGAAAAGTGTCGCCGCCATTCAATTTCTCTAGTAGTGTGCGCCAGGAATACATCAGCCCCCGCGAGCTTTCCATTTTTAGCTTCGCCACTGACGGACGAAGTCATGGAAACTGTGTTTAATGAAAACGATCTGAAAATGTAGAGCTGCTCGCAGGTTATCGATTTATTGACTTGGAATATGTCGACGATATTGCGCTAATATGTGACAGCTCCAAACGTGTCAAGCAGCACTGACTGTCAGCTGTTCCAGCCTGTATTTTATACCATCCAAAGGCAAATCTTTCCTGTAAGTTTGGTAGGGACCGCTCTTTGAATGACCTAGATGGAGATCAACGAAGTAGTTCGGAAATTCGATTAACCGAAAAGCTGTACCAGGTCATGTGGCATAGAAATTCAGTTCAGTTGATCAATTATGATCCGAGCACCCAAATGCCGTAGATCCAGCTGCCACGACTTACATTGCAAGAATAACCATAAATAACACCGCCAAGATAATGGGGTTGAATGCAAATATAATGTGAAGAAAATGGAAGCATGGAGAGAGTGCGCTACACTAATCTGAATGGAACGGAATTTGACGGTCGGATTCAAGAACGTCAATAACTAAGTGACTGCGCCATGTCTGAAAAGGTCTTCAACCATCGTGTGGACTATCCCGAAGCCCCCGTCTACGAAGATGGCACGCACCAGCATGAGCAAGTCTCAGTCAATTTCTTTATCCCACTATGCCACGTCATCAAATCGACACCTCGCGCTTTCGCCCAACTTAGTGTAGCAACGGCATATGATGCACGCCGAGTAAGCCGGTCAACGGGCATACGGAGGACATGGCCTAGCAAACTCAAGCGACTAAGATCCATCAAACACTCGAGAGGCACCAGAAGGCTTCTTGACGAAAACCAACTGGCGCACCTCAACATTGTTCACTCGGTGTTCCCACCGGACATGAGCAATACTCCGCAAGTGCCGATGATCACACACGACCAAGCGTTCAAGGTCTTCACCGCGAACTGGTCACACAGTAACACTGGCTTTACCACAGCTTTATACATCCTACTATTCACTAACAGACTGATATCCCGCCGTCTCCATAGATGGTTAAGTCTCTGGAAAGCCACACGAGCCTTACTGATACGCGAAGTAACTTCCTCCATGATCTGACCACCAGAAGTGACACAGCTACCAATGTAAATGAACCGACTCCCCACTTCTACTGGCTGTTCCGTGATACCTAGAACCGGAAGTGTGTCTGCCCAGTCCTGTGGCACTACCTTGCACTTTGAAGGTGCAGAGCTCATGCCGAATCGTGCGACACTGTGCGTCAATTTAACCAGTAGTGTTTCCATAGTCACTGCGTCAGACCCAAGATGAACTATGTCGTCTGCATACTCCAGGTTTGTCAGTCGGTCATCTGGTAGAACTTCCGCTCCGGTAAAGTCTGAAAGAACAGAGTTACACATGATCATTCCGGTAACAAATCTGAAGAGGAAAGGAGATACAGGACAACCCTGGCGAACCCCACTTGTCGTGGGAACTCAGGGGACAGTTTCTCATACACCTATCCTTACACGGCCTCAGGAGAGACTGCATAATGGAAAGGAATTTACCTAACATTTCCCTTCATGGATAAGCAGAGGAACAAGCTGACGCGGTCAACAGAGTCAAAGGTAATTTTCAAGTCAAGGAAAACCACCATTGTCGGTCGCCTTTAGGTGTGTCTATGCTTCAACACTTAGCGAGGAGAAAAGATGTGGTTGAAACAACCACGACCAGAACGGAAGGCAGCTTAGCTTTCAGTAACTCGGTTCTCATGGGGACCAGTAAGTCGTCGATGAATGATACCCGTGACATGTTTGGATGCAAAGAAACAACACTGATGCCTCGATGATTTTCGCAAGTGGCATAAAGGATGATGCTACTAACCGTACTACAAAAGCTCAAGGTACATCCGCCAATCTTCGCTACCTGCGGCGCCGCGGCGACGTCCACCTTGCTCTGAAGAGTGCAGTCTACAATGTAGCCGTCCGTTCAACCCACATGTACGGTTGTGAAACCTGTCCCATCAGGTCGACAGACAAAAAGATTTTAGTCACCTGCCACTGATGCCCCCGTAGTCTAGCTCACATCTGGTGGAAGCACCGCGTGAGCAATCAGCGTGTTCGGCATCTTGTTGCTGACGTCAGGAGAGGGAGCAAACCGCTCAACACCGTTTTTTCACGCACCAGGCTCCGATGGCTGGGCCACGTGTAGCGCATGCTGGCACACTGACTCCCGCGACAAGCATTGTTTGCGCGGTTGGTGTGTGGATAGAAGAGGCGGGGTGATCAATCGATAACTCTCTAGTGTGGAATGAAATGCCTCGCTGCGAAGTTCACTTTGGTTAGAGCCTCTCGACTCCATGGTTGGGGTCAGAAAGACGGTGAACACGTTTGTTTGAATACATTTGTTGACTTGGCGCAGAACCGATATGGACGTCGTTGTGTTGTGAGTTTATTTGTCCGCCCACTCCCGCTTAGTTTCCTCCTCCAACCGTTATCTCAGCCTCGATGCGTAACACTAGTGTTCGTTTTCGGGCGGGCGACACTCAATTTCCATCTGCTTCGGATACGGCCCCAGTGATCGCATTGACCAAGGTTCATTGCAATGTGAATCGCGGTCTAGATTGAGATTGCGCGTCAACAACCCAAACACAAACCATGTACTTAGAAATGCTCCCCTCCCCAATTAGTCAGTAACCGTTGTGCCAAACGTTGCCCGTCGTGACACGGTAGCTAAAGGGGCAGATGTTTCGGCTACTATTCCAATGGTTGCGGGTTCGAGGCCTGCTATCTCCACCTGATGAGATAAAATGATATCGACACGTCGTCGTTGTGCAGCGTTTTCGGACGGGCAACACCCAATTTTCATCTGCTTCGGCTAAGGTCCCAGTGATCGCACTGACCAAGATTCACTTCAAGGTGAATCGTGGTCTACACTGAGATTGCGCGTCCTAATCCAATCACACAATGTGGACTCCAAAAATGTTTTGCATCTGTTGTTTCCCTTACTCATTCATTTTTGCTGCCATCCAACTGGTTTGTATTGCGGCACAATAGCTGGTGTGTTTACCACCTCTAGGTAGCGTGTACAATGATGGTGATGTAACTTTTCACACTTCTCTGCGACCAAAAGGAAGAATAGGAGTGAACAGAAAGATTTGCAAGCCAGAATCTCATTACATTCTTCGCACAGTATATGGTAGCCCAGTGACAATGTCTACGTCTCGGATTCGAATATCTGCTCCCTCGTGGGTTTGGATGCACTAGCGGGATCTTAGCCCGAGTACAACGTCTTGAGATTGCACGGTATCGAAGCACCACCACAACGAGTTGCAATGTATTTGTCGAAATATTTCCCGTTTGTCAGCCTGCGTAAAGCTTCTTACAAACTATACCCATTCCGCTCTGGTTTGCATACAAGAACGGTTCTTCCCAGGCTCTACAGTTCATCTAAAACGCATAAGCGAAATGTTCCGCTAAGATCAGCTTTGGATATGAATGATTCACCGTACCATTCTACCGCACGGTGGCTAGTTGAGATACTTGAGCCCATCCGAAAGCGGATAGCAGTGTACAGCCAGAAGAATGGTTTAAAATGTGTAGACGTAATAATAGAGTTAAACGCCTTGAGTCTGACCATGTGCGCACTGGATGTCGCCTCTTTGTTCACAAATATGCCCATATTTGAAACAATAAATTACACATGCGAACACGTCGATGGGAGCCAGATCAACATGGGCATACCCACCGTGGCGCTGAAGGAACTGTTGCTTGGAGGTACGTTTAACGTTCAATTTTTATTCAACGGGGTGATATATCGGCAGAAGAGATGGAGTGACGACGGGTTCCCCACTTGGGCCAGTACGCACCGATATTTTCATACGCACGCTTAAATAAGGGAGTTTAAAATCAACTATCGGGAGTCTCAGCTTCTACCGCCGTTATGTTGATGATATATGTGCGGTGTCTCAGGCTCATCAAAATATCGAAGTTATTGCTGAAATTTTTAACCGAGCCCATAAAGCGGTGTATTTTACCGCGGAGGTAGAAGAAAATGACGTGGGCTAAAAGAGGCTCGATAGCGGGGGGTTACAGCGTAACCCTTATAGAAAGGGCACGTGAAACGGCTAGTACACTAATTTCCACAACTCCGTGCCACTGCAGTTGAAACGGGACTAATTTCTTGAGCTGGTCAGTCGAACGAAAAGAATTTGTTCGCATGCTACACCTACAAAATAACTACGGTGAATATGCTAGGCGCTGCGAGAAAATGGCTACCAAGATCGCTTCATAAAAGTTCACGTGGAGCAGAGAAAGAACACACCCTTGGTCTTAACGATCAACAGAAAAGTAATTTTTCTATAACTTATGTACAAATGGGACATCGCGGCCGAAATTCTCAACCGTCGTTTATCGCAGGAGCTCAGATGTACCTTCCCAGCAACAAAATTACAGACCTACTTCAACAGCGCACCGATCGTAAAGCTCAGTCCCAAAGATAGTAGGCCTGTTCACAATAACTCGATGTGTACCTATTCATTGTCCAGTTCATGTGGAGCAGGATTAGTCGTAAGATTAGGTGTTTATCCGAGAGAATGGAAGAAAATCAGCTGGCATGGCCAGCGGCTGGAATCAGAATGGTAAGTGACTCCTCCATAGCTGCCCACCTCGCTTACACTAATAGCTCGGAATAAAAACCCGTACATAATGATCGGACCGAGTTCAATGAATCGCGTCTCGTTTCTGAGAAATATGCATATTGTTAATAGTATTAATATTACTAGTGTAGCGCCGACACCCACGTACATGATATGCATCTAAATATGTGTACATCTATATCAAGAAAACTGCGTTTCATGCCAAACACCCAATTACCTTAAAGTCCTTTGGTCCGGGAATGCGTAAGGTCTGTTTTACCCCTCTACCGGACAGATAAATGATCGCTTCGGTTGGATAGCCCTTAAATGGGAATTCGTTTGTCAACAGCTCGTACCACACAGTTCTGAAAGAAAGGATATCGGCAAATAGTGGCTGGGAAACGGGATATAAAGCAGATTTGAATTGCAAATGACATGAGAATTGGCATTAAAATTAAAAGCTCAGAAGTGTCACGTGGGCAGTGGGAATGTATCTTGCGCGAAGTGGCCCGTATTCAGAGGCACAATGTGAATAAGAGGTTGCGGTGTATAGCTTACCTCCTAAATCACTATATTACGTGACTGTTCTGTAAGGTTTTCGATGACATCTTTCACCCATATAGTAACATCCGCCGTATCCACCCAGTGTGCAAAGTAGCTTTAGTTAATTATGTTTGATAAAAGTCTATGTCTGTTGGATCAGCTGTATATGTCGTGTTGCAAGATGAAACAGTGAGCGGCATTTCAAAAAGAGGATAGCTCTTTTACACTTCTTAAGTACACTTGTGCTAGGCTAGCATGCAGTTGTAAGCTAGATTTTATCCCTTCCAGATACCTAGGAGTCGATTTCCCACCAGTTAAGGTTCATGAGCTTTGCTGATCTCCCCACAAGAAGACCACATTTGGTCGCAGGTGGTCATGAGCTTCACGTCCGTCAGTCAGTGTCTGTTGTAAGTGGCATAATAGAGCGCGACAATCTGACGAAAAAACTGTTTACAAAATGTGAATGTGCCGCCGCAGCCGAAGGTGCACCAAATGCTGGTGTGGTCAATGGCACACTTGCGTTCACTCTTTCCCACCTCACTGCCAGTCACGCAGTCTGGTGATCACCCTACAACCGACGGTCTTCTTGATTCCCTTGAATTTTGCCCCACGATATTTGCTGTGATGTTGCCTCCAGTGAGTACTGCTTACTATTCAAATCCAGCTTGAAAGGCACAAGTGTTTAGACCAGACTAACTCCAGGTAGTATAGGACTGAAAAAGGTTTCATTCAGAGGTCAAATATCAGCCCATACATGGATGTCCGTGCCCTCCAGTCGTCGCTGCATTGGTCTTGATGTCTGATCATTTCCTGTTTGCTCACTGGTTACCACAATGCATCATACGTAAAAGTCTATTTGGGCATTGTCTATCCAGTGTATCGATCGCTCTCACACTGAAGTTGTGCTTGGGCGTCCGTTCGGTACGAACATTGAACAAGATAAACACCACAACCGTAATAACATGGCATAAAGGATCAGGATTAAGCGCTTAATAGGGTTCGGACTAAATTCAACAAGCAGGTTGGACATAACAGTCGACAACATTCTCGTGAATGAGGTCGAAAAGACTTCATTAGAAACAATATCGCCGACAACTAGGTCGAAAGACAAATTGTTGGCTCTCAAGTGCTTTCCTTTCCCCACTTACACTTTGCTTTCCTATCAATGATTAATAATGATTAAAATGGATGGGCATCTGTTGACGGGACGCAAAATACTTGGCATTGAAGCGTGCAATCAGTGGACGTATGGAGCGTCAATGAAAGGAATGACATTGAAAATTTTTGAGCACCTCATAAGATACGTGACACTATAATACCAGTCATGGTTCCCGTTAACAAAGTAAGATGATCCCCATGTGCATGTAGAATGCAAGCGTTGTGGGAAACTCACCCAAACGCGAACACATCGGAACTGGGAGTGAGAGGGAGCTCATTGGTTGTGCTTGCGGAGCAATTCATATTCAGTGCATGAATCACTTCCGGTGCCACATAACACAACCAAAAGGGTGGAATATTCAGATAGTTGCCCCACCTGCAAAAGTGAAGTGAGCCGTGAAATCACAGATTAGGTTGGGTTTGCTAAATTTGATGCATGATTCGCGATGCGAAGAGCTGAAAATATGCTTAATACAAGTTCTCAACAACATGGTGTGTAGGGTGGTTCGAAGAAGATCGCAGACCAGAAGGAAGACATACCGGCATCGAGCTACTTCCGGGTGACAGGCTCAGTGACTAGGAGCATGCTGACAACATCTCCGTAATCTGTGATTTCTCGCAGAGTGCCCAGGGAATACTGCGCAGGTTGGAGATGTGTCTCACAGCTTGAAATGACCTTTGCCCCTTCCAAGCGAAAAGTTTCGCTGAAGGATTGGTCAGAAGCTGGTTTTATCCTCGCTCCTACCGGCTATTCTTCGGAAGTAGTAAACAAGTTCGTTTACCTTGAGAATTGCATTAACACGGAATAATTAACAGATGAGATCATTTCGCGCATCTTCATAGCCAGAGTAACCTTTGCCAACTTCCGACAGCTCTGACACCGGCGTGATCCTAGCCATTCACTAGAAGATCGAATTCACAATGCTATGATACAAACAGTGCTTCTTTATGGCTGAGAGACGTAGCAAACCACCCGATTAAGGAAAGAGCAAACACGTGCACAATGTTGACGGATATGCAGACGATCGTCGGAAACTAAATGATCCGCTGCTCACATAGCGCACAAAAACTTATAGGCAAAATCGAATGACATCAATTCGGTTAAGTTCAAATGTGGTCCAAGCACCGAGCCGCGGCAGGTAAAGCCGACACCGTTCAGGTTCCAAAGCCACAACAATAACAGCGACGATGATGAGGACAACGACAACAGCAACAAGTAAAATGAACTGGCTAAAAGTAAGACCGGCACCTGGGAAATTTAAGTCAGTAATATGGAAAAGAATGCAGCAAAACACCGACGCCGTCGCCACGGCATGTGTGCAAAGCATCTAGTCAATGGCAATAGTCACCAAATCTAGTTAGCTTTCCGGCGAACTTCACTCCATTTTTTCCATGCCATCGACTAACAATTTTGGGGTTACACCCAGTTAAACTTAACATAGTTAAGTAACACCATGAAGTACCCGGAATGTGGGCATGCGGAGGGCATGATTTGGCCGATGAAGGCAACTCGAGCTCAGTGGGTATTCTAGTGTGGAGGCGGTCGGTCGCCAAACCTCAAATGGTAATGAAGCCATCACAAAGACAGTAGAAACCCAAATACAGTTTTGATCCTGTGACATGTCAAGAACCAGATGCGCAAAGAATACATAGTGCAAAAAGAAAATAGGAGCTACTTTCTATCTCCAGAAATGAAAGAGATTACAGAAAAAACGAAACACCTGAGGGAACAAGTGATAAAGTGAGCATAATTCACGATAGGATACGGTCTAAACGGATGAAAATTCAGCATGAGCCCAAGTGAGAGTCGCCAGACAAGTAGAATGGTAGGCGGATAGAAGTGAAAGTGCGGACCTAAGTATCTGATTGAAAGACAGAGCGAAAGGAAGACCTTTGTCACATTTGACGCGAAGGAACCAATGAAAGATAGGACAGAAAAAAGTACAAAGCTGAGGGCAAAGAGAGAGTGGATATAGGAAAGGAAATGAGCATTTCATTAAGAAATGATGAGAAACAAAATGAGGCATCAAACATAAAAAACATAACAGAAAAAAGGTGTAAGAAGATAAAACGTGACGTAAACTTAGCCTAAAAGGTCAAGAAATCAGAAAGAGGTAAGCAAAAGGAACGTAGTACGGAATACTTGAGTACGGTGGAAAATCGTTCCTAGGGTGTGGAATAAAATGAATGGAGCTGGGAGAAACACAAGCAGGGTGCTGTGATTTTATGAGGCCGTTGATATAGCGCACACCATTAACGAGAGGCATCAAGCGCAAAGTTACTCAGGCACGGGTAAACGGGCAGGCTGTGCAAACGGGAACTCACTTGGCCCTTTTGTACAAACGTACATAATTGAAAACACCAAAATCGCCAATCACGACACGCGAGTTCGCTTCGACAAAAATGTTTCGAGTCTTCAAATCGCGATGCACGATACCCTTGGCGTGTAAATACCCCATGCCCTTCGCGATCTGACTTGCGATGTTGATGGTGCGATTGATGGCCATGCTGGTATCTCGGTGGTGTAGCAGGTGGTACAACGTCTCACCCTAAAGATGAAAAAATAAAAAAATGGTGAGGAATCAATTAATAGCCAGAGCCTTTTGTACCTCATCGAGTGGACGGATGTAAGTAACACATGAAGCAGGCTAAAGCAAAAGGTTGGTCTTAACGGCAAGCCATTCAGCGAAATCTTCCGCAACTTTATCCTAACCAGTACGGATACATAATACTGTTGATCACAGGATTCGTTTGGCCGATTCACCGTAATTAACTAATTTGGGCTGGAGAACAATCATTTGGTTATTTGCAAATCTTTTTGAAATCATGAGTTCTCGATCGGTTTCAGGCATATCTTAAGAAGTTGAGTATCCTGGGTTACTTTTATCTTATCAGTTGTGGTGCGACGGCCTGATGAGGATTACCGAAAACAGACTTGCTGGCTTAGACAAATTTTTAATTCAAACCGTAAGTGTAGAGGAACAGGGGGTGGATCTTTTTGACTGATGTCAACAGTAAGTGAAAACAGCGTGAGTAAGATCAAGGGTTCACATGCACGCTGAGCAGGAGGCTACTGGCAGGCGCATCAAAGAATTGAGTGCCGAAGCGTACATAAAGGAAGAGTGAGTGGCAATATCACAAAAGTAAAGGGAGTGAAGTATAAAACAACAAATCGACAAAGCTGCAATTTTTCCTACTTACCGTTACGCGTCAGTAAATGGAGACTTCAGGCTCGCATAATTAATGTTAAATAGAGCACAACACCAAACTTTACACAACAGGAATATGGTTTTAGTTTATCAGAGCCAATGATAGACTAAGGCGCCGCCCTTATGAATAATTATGGTGCATTTACACGTACATGGCGTTTCAAAACAGACCCAGCGAACAGGCCCATTGGAAATGTTGTAGCTCACCGCTCAGCAACATTCGGACGAGGTTTAAAAAAACCAGGAAGTAAATAAGATTTGTACACATGTGAATTCACTGTTGAAGAATCGCGATTTCCCATTAAAGCAAAGTCAAGTTTCGCACATTTTGTCTTGGAAACCAGGTTGTGCGTGAGACAGCCTACAACATATCCTGTTTCATCTGGTGGCACTTACGGGGAGCACTGAAACATGGGCCCAGCAGCCAAATGGCGACAGTGATGTAGCCAGTGTTGTAGTATGATGATGATGATGGGAAACAGCACAGCCCCCGGTACGGAAAACCGGCTTACATACTGAGTTAAGTTATTAAGTAGATAATTCTAAGGAGCTCACTTAATGCATCATCGTCACTCGCAATCAGTAGGCTTAGGCTAATATGGAAAAGCACCAGACACCGGCGTTTCGACCTGGGTCTCCTCAGTGGTGCGCCTCCCAGCGGACCCGTGCCGGGTTCCGCTCCCATGACTCCAGGATGCTAGCAGCTAGTGCCACTACTCATCAGTAATTCTGAGGGGTATTAGCTTGGACTCTCGAACTGCCCACTTCCAAAAAACAGTAACAGTTGTAAACCGAAACTCAATTGCCACATAACCATGATCTTATTACAACCGATGGACAATAAAATGGGAAGGGGGACTCTCAGTATGAAATCATAATGCCGTAAGCAAACGTTCAGAATCACTGCATAGACACAAACACCGCTACTGTGCAGAACAAGCGACAATGAAGGACATTCTAGAAAGAAGAAAGGCATCAGCAGTACGCCGATACGCAGTATCGACGCTTCGTTGCCGCGCAATTACCACCAGTCGCGAGTGGGCTAAGAATACTGCGAGGGTCGCCCGTCCCCTACGCAGGCTCGAATCCACGCCCTCGAGTTACAGGGCAAAGTTGTGATCCTCGAGTCTACCGGCCGGAAAGGACATAATGAGACCCGTTGTTTGTTTGTTACAATAAAACCATCATGGTCGCATGCGAGTTGGGATGCCGTCATGGGGCCTAAAGTCAGATAAGTTAATCCGTGTATTCTGGTCATCTGATTTAGAACATCTTAGTCGGCAGGATGGTATCTGATTGGGTGGATCACGAAAGCGATGGGACGGAAATACACCGAAGAAATGTGGATGTGTGCAATTACGATCTGGGTTGCTTTATCGGGAGAATTCCACGGTAGATCAGGTCGTCAGAAAAATGTTGGAGATTCGTAAACCGGTGTAATTTTGACCGCACAACTTCCCTCAAGCGTTTCATGTGTTTCGCCATCGGGCATACTCATGACAGTGGAGAACAGTGCAGAAACCAGACGGTGCAGTGTGGTGCGTGACGCAAACATCGATTTAGGGGCTTAAAATAGCACATCAAAAAATTGCCACCCGATGTCTGTTGGCCTGGATACTGCGCTCACACTGACCGACGCAAGTGAACCTCGTGCAGACACAAACACCCACCGACATACCAGTGCACGTGCGCATGGCACTAAAGATAACCCTCCTTCCTTCGGCTACGCGGCTAGTGACGTTAAAATCGTTTAAGGTGTGCTCGACTGAGGTAGGCGGAGAGAAAAATTTACGGTCTCACAGTGGTCGGAAGTGGGTAGACGCGAAGGTGAAAATCAATACGTACCCTTCGCTAGAGATCAAGGATTCACCGTTGATCACTACACATCGGATAATGCTGGCGCTAAAGTAAAATTAGAACGACATTCGTAACTTAGTGCTCTACTTTAACTAAGCAGGCCATCTGATTTGCGAGCTACCGCGAGGAACTCGCAACACAATGAAGTAAAAGTTCAATACTCACTATTAATCAAAACATTTGTCCTAAAAATGCACACATGACTTTCCATGTACACATTTCGGAATAGCAAGAAGACACAGCATTTCAACAGTATATTCTGAATTCAGATATTTCGTGTCCTCGCATCAGCCGTTGACAGAGTAGCAGTGGGACTACTACACTCACACAAAGGTAAAATGGGGTATAAAATCGTTCGGTTTACATGAAGCTAATCGATTACGCCTCACCAAGGTAGGACAAGGGTAGTCAGAAATTCTGTCTGTTTACATAACTTGGGCTTCAGTTTGCGGATCGCTGAGACCTCTGCAAACTAAAGCAGCCGGGGGAGTGCTTTGTCGACTACTGATCCTGAATGACTCACGTGGATGTTGGCAAGGAGAGAAATCAAGTATGTGCCGGGCAATGGAGCTAATGAGCAACTTCGGGCCGTCGGCCGCCATTTTACACGGAACATGCTCTGAAGTCCTTTTGGATAGTCTCCTCTCAGTTCGGCCCACAGACCTGCTCCCGCAAGTGCAATGAAAAAGGTAGATACAAGAGGCGTTAACCTTCGAGTCTGGCTTGTCCAAGTCGGATTTACAGAGCAACTTCCTAACATGGTGCAATAATATTAGCTCAGCCACATAATAACATTTCTTAATGGACTGACGGAGACGATATCGAAATCATCTGTCATTTTGGTCTCCGTTGAATGATACTTGGATGAACATTTTCTTCTTAGAGACGACGGCTGCACACTTTTCAATGGCTTTAGCGTTTGTGTTATGAGTCTGTTGGGATATCCATGTTCGCGTAGTGTTACCGTGACGCGCTGCAACTCACTGTCAATGGTCTCATCGGAACAGATCATACGACCTCATGTAAAACCCTACTTCGGCTTGGGCAACCGGGTAGTATCTCGCCCTCTGAGGAAACCACAAACTTTGATGTGTTTTGTTGTGTTTTACTATTTCGGTATCTATTTGAGTCCCATGGTTTCTGATGGCTCTATGTCTATTCGTAGACCGTTACAATCATCATCATCAACAGCAGTACATCAGCCATTTGAACTGATGCTTCGCTGCCATACAACCATGAGGACTTATGAAATAAAGAATAAGAAGAGGGAGAGAAGGGGAACTTACCTGAAAACCTTAATGTCCTAAGCAAACATTCAGGGTCAAGGCGCCTACACCTTGTGTAGACAACATACCGTCACAAACAGCTGGCTATCGTGCAAAGATAAGGCGGCATCGGCGAGACAGCTTCCTTGCGGCTTTCACTGCCCCGCGTCATAATCAGCCATTACCCCGCAGATAACTCAGCACCAAACACACTTTAAACAGACAATCCGATTAGGAGACGGCAGCAGATGCGCCATTTGTGTCTACTGCGAGCCATGTCCCGTAGAGTCTCAAGCCAAGCACAAGGTGAGTCACATGGACTCCAGCCTGGAAGGCGAGACGGACCAACGGCACCCAGTTTAGTTGTCAGTGACTTCATTTCCCGCTGCCAAGTCAACTTCTGTCCACTTCGAGCCTTGCGCCATCCGACACCCGGTAGACTGAACAAGGCCCTCCTAGGTAAGCGGTGACCAGGCATGCGTAGCACGTGCCCGAGCCAACGCAACTTATTCAATGCTATCTGTTGTTCTAGGGAGCTAGCATGATTATCACCACCTAGTACTCGCCTACGCACATCACCGTTGCGGACACGCTGGTGCCATCCGACACCAGCAATGCTTCGCAAACAACGATGAACAAAGACTTGAAGGCGCCTCAGATCTTCAGACCAAAGGGGCCAAGTTTCACTAACACAGAGCAGAACGGCCCTCACTGTGGCCCTGTATACACGGCCTTACAGGCGGAGGGAAAGTCCCTTCTGTCGCCAAAGATGCCGCAGGTTCAAGAAGGCAGCTTTGGCGTTTGCAATGCGTGGGCTGACGTCAGCTCCTATACGCCCATCATTGCTGATGCAGCTGCCAAGATTAGTGAAATGATCAACCACCTCGAGTTCCTCGTTAGCAAGCGTCAAGGGGTCATCAAGTGGCTGGTGGTCCTGCAGCAACACTGCACTTTGAAGGTGCGAAGTACATACCAAATAATGGGACCACTCTGGACAGGCTATTCAGGGTTGACTGTGCCGCCTCAACATTGTCGAAAAGCAAGAGGATACCGTCCGCATAATCTAGGTCAATTCACCTTCCACCAGGCATCACTTCAACGCCTACATCATGAGATTCCACAAGGGCACACTCCATGATATAATTCACGACGAAATTGAACAAAAACGGGGAAATCGGACAACCCTGACGAACGCCACTTGTAGTCGAAAAGCTATCC